TTGTCCACAGTCTAGCTTGCAGTTGCTTTTGGCCCATCATTTGTGCTAAACAAGGTCAGGTGGGTAATTCATTATAAAGATGTATGAAGATATGTAATGGTGGGATCCTGGTGTTGCACAGAGCCCCTTCCACTCTTCCCCATATTTGTGACTGACCTCACATCTTTGCACAAAACTTGGACTCTGAGGTCAGACAGCCTTGGGTTAGTATTTTAACTAGACCATTCACAAGCTCTGTGACCTTGAAAATTTTAAACCATTTCTGTGAACTTGAGGCCACTCACATGTAAAGTAAGAATATGTTTCTTACCTGTACGGCGATGCCTGACCTATAGGAAGTCACTAAATAGGACTTTCCTACCTTAACCACTGTATCTCCTGTCCCCCTCTTTCTGTTCCAACCTCCCCCCTCTCTCCATTCTGGTCCTCTTGTCCCATCTTCACCTCAAGCCTCACAGGCATTGCTGATCCCAGGAAAAGAGAGACACTAACAGTAGCTAGGTCTTGGATTTGACGCTGAAAGTTTCTATCATCGTCTCTGCAGAAAAGCAGAAATGTGCTGAAATGAAGAGACACCTGAAGAAAGGAAGAGGGAGCAGAGAGTTTCAGCCTAAGAAGAGGGGGAAGTGTGGAATTTTTAGTTTTTCACAGGCTGGAAACCCAGGCTTTCCAGGGAGAGAGGGAGAGAGACTGACCTTACTTTGATTTTCATGGAAATTATCATTTGACTTTGATCTTGAGAGAATGTCACTGAGCCAAATGTTGAGGTTTAGGGGTTTTTTTGGGGGGGGGATTTGGGGGCAAGGGGGGAGGCTGTGAGAAAGAAGGGAGGAGATTTCATTCTGAGAGGGATAAGTGTGTGTGTGTGCAGCCATGTGGGGCAGGGGATGGGGTGAATGCAGGAACAAGGAAGTCCCTTTTCTTCTCTGCCATACGGAATTCAGGTGTTTTTTTTTTTTTAAAGATTTTATTTATTTATCTGACAGAGACAGCAGAAAGGGAACACAAGCAGGGGGAGTGGGAGAGGGAGAGGGAGAAGCAGACTCCCCACTGAGCAGGGAGTCCCATTTGGGACTCGATCCCAGGACCCTGGGATCATGACCTGAGCCAAAAGCAGACGCTTAATGACTGAGCCACCCAGGCACCCCAGGAATTCAGGTTTAAAGCAGGAAAAGGCTTAAGAGAAACTGAAAGAATACTTAATTCCCTCAGTTCCACGCTAGTTAAAAACACAGGAAAGAAACATGGAACTGAAGAATGTCTAGTATAACAAGTACTGTAAACCTTTTATTATCATATTTGTGGCTTCTAGGGTAGGACTTTAATACCATCTTTTAAGATGTTGCTCACTTAAAGCAATTGTGTTTAATTTTAAATAAAAAAAAACCTCTCCCAAGTATTTCTTTTCTCCCTTCAGTTAATTTTCCATTTAAGTATATGATTTCCATGCTGAAGAAACTCATGCCCTGAGAGGAATGCATACTTTTAAGTATTTGCACACTTGAAGAGCTCTATTAATTATGTAAAACAACATGAAGATGAAAAGCAGTGCATTGTAGGGGCAGGGATCCCTGCTAAAGTCCTGGGTCACAGCTGGTCACAACTGGCTGTGTGACCTTGGGTGAAGTCCTTGACTTCTCCGAGCCTTAACTCCTTCGTGTGGATTACATCAAGGGCAAAGGTCCTTTCAGCTCTCAAAGTTCTCATCATAACTAGTCTTGAGGTGACTATAATCCCTAAAGCAAAGTTAATATGACATATAAGAAAGCCATCCACTTCTTAGAGACTGTGGAGCTTAATTGCATAAGCAAATTAACTTCTCCAAACTCCAATGTCCTCATCTATAAAATGGTAATTACAGTAGTGTCTCTCCTTTTAGGCTTGTTTTGAGGTTTACATGAGAAAATGTCTGTGAAGAGCTTAGCATAGTGACTGGCATTTAGGAAGTGCCCCAAGAATGAAGGTTAAACAAGAAAAAAAAAAACAAAAAAAACAAGAGAAGCTGCTGTGCTTCTTCAGAGCCTCAGGGTCCAATCACTCCCTGCCTCCCCATTTTGGCACTGTGGGGTCCCCAGTGTTTAAAGGAACAGCGTAAAGCAGAGTTAGCAAAACAAAGATGAGGAGGAAGAAGATGATAATAGCTCGCCAGGCTCTGTTCAAAGTGCTTTATCTGTATGAACTCATTTAATCCTCAAACCAACCCCAGGAGGTAGATAAAATTATCATCCCTATTTTATAGACCAGGAATCTGAGGCACAGAGGTTAAGTGATTTGCTCAATGCCCACACAGCTCCTACAGATCACCCTCAGTGAAGCTGAAAATTGACACTGTCCCTAACATATCTGGAAAAAACAACAGAAAATTACTGGTAGTCTAGCCTTTTTGGTTTTTTGTGGATGCTCAAAAAGTTGGCTGATTAAATAATGTATAAGCCCGAGTTAGCCCCCAAAGTTCCACGCCTGGATCTAGCAGTTTCTTCCCACCTGGTGCTAATGAACATGCAAAAGAAGATCTCAACATTTGTCTAATGACGTTAACTAATGCTACCCCCTGCATGGTGATTATGAGTGGAGCTGTGCTGTGGCTTCAGCAAGCAGGTGGTAGAAATTCTTAATGAAGATTGCATACAGATTATAGCATTTTGGTGTATTTTACGGTGAAATTGCCAAGGGTTCAAAACCTTTTCCAATTGGCTCCCTTATCCTCAGCACAAATAGGGGGGCTTGATGTAAAGGACTAGAAGCATGGGATGAACTGAATATAAATTGCATTAGAGCTACCCCTATGTTAGAGGACCAACTCAGAATGCTAATGAATAAAGCTTCTGTGATGCTCTTTATGAAAGGAAATCTACAGGAGGCAAAATATGGACTCAGAAGACCAATTCTGACTAAATCTACTGGGGTAGATGGAGACATTTTTGTATTGAGGAATGAGAAGTTTGCTAAGAATTAGGAGCTATATATACCTAGTTGTATGTGTAAGTGGACAAGTGGACAAGTGAACTTGTTGAAGGATTGGATGTGCTTAAGAAAGATAAAGAAAGTGGTGAATTGCTTCCTATACTGTGAGGAGAAATTTATTCACGCTAATGCTGGCAGATGAACTATTATTGAAAAATGGTTTAATAACAGTGGACCAACCTAGGATTTATTCCAGGGAAATAGAATGAGGATGAATAATTCTTATTCTGTTCTGCTTTGTATGCTTCACAAGGTCATGCTAAGTGTATATGTTAATTTTTTTTCACCCATGGTTGCAGCAAGTGTATTCAAATTCAATTAAATATATATTTCCTAAATACAAAAACAAGGCAAGTAGAAATGAAAAACCTACCTCACTTTTTGGGAAAATTTCCAGGCTAAAGAAGGAAAAGTTGCCTCATAGTAATTTCAAAAGCCTTAAGATTTTTGGTTATAGTCCTTTCTGTTCAGGATCTCAGGGTTGACTACATATATATATTTTTTGTTTATGATTTGAATTTCTCTTGAATAGCAAATACTAATTTCTTATAGTTTGAGATATTATCCAAGAGATATTAATGGCTCTGAGGATGCTGAAATGCTCTTTGTATTCATACTTACTCATCATTGAACAAGGCTGCCTTTTCATTTGGAGCAAAAGAAGTTAATTTATACACCATTATTATATGCACACAAATGCTATTATGGGCATGCACACACAGGGGTCCAACTCTATTCTTAATTATTCATGCTAGTGGAAGCGAGGCAGAGACAACACAGAGCTGTATGCAATCCAAAACCCTTAAATATTTTACTTTAGAATGTCCTGCTTGACTTTCCTTTGGAACTGGAAAACTTACCAAATGATATAGGAATATTTAAGTATTTAATAGGCACCTGCTGTATACAGATTTCTAAGTACCAGGGGACCTTATGAGGTATAAAAGAAATACCTCGTAAATAATTTGCCGAGAGATCAAGTCACTCAAAAGGAGGGATAAACTTAGAGTTGTGATGGTATCTAGAGAGAGAAAAAGGCAACTCATAACAAGGAATTGTAGGAGTAAAATTGTGGTTTCAAGGCAGGAAAGTACAAAGCAAGCTTTTTGAGTGAAATTTGTCTTGACTCCAGAGTTGAAGGGACTAGTGGCTATAGTTTTAAGGAATGGAAAAGCATTCCAGATCTCCAGAAAATTGCAGAGAGAAAAGCCTAAGTCAAGTCACCACATTCTGGCTTCAGGATGAGTTGTGGTAAGTGACTTGCCAGATCACAGTGTGTCAGTGGCAGAATAGAGGCTAAAATTCCTGTTTTCTGATCCCTCATTCAGTAAAGGGATAGGGTCCTGGTCTCCTATAATTGGATTAAGTTGCATTTCTCCATGGAACCATTTTAATAGCTATTTTGACTATAGCCACATAAGACACAACAGGTTAAATCAGTTTCACTGACTTGAGTAACTGGGGTTGAAAACTACAGGCACACACCAAGCCAGCCAATGTTCCAGTCACACTAAACAATTTGTTCTTCATCGCACTCCCCTTGCATATTTTCTTCAGAGCTGGCATTCAGCTGGAATGCATCAATATGACGGTACAAGTTGTTAAAAAAAATTTTTTGACAGGAAGTAGGATTTATTGGTGGGCATGAATAAAAAGGGAGTAGGGCCGAGGTTCTCATGAGTGCAGAGCCTGCCATTTGTCCAGGGGGCCATGACTAGGAATATATTTGACCCCACAGCCATTGGGGATAAGCTGCTTTTCAGCCACCTTGTCTCCAAATTCATCCACATTAAACTTAGGAAAGCCCTGCTTCTTGGAAATGTGGATCTTCTGGCAGTCAGGGAACTTGAACTTAGCCCTGCATAGAGCCTCAATCACATGCTCCTTGTTCTGCAGGTGGGTACAGATGGACATGAAGACTTGGCGAACATGGATCCTGGCTACTGCACCCTGGTGCTTTCCAAAGGCACCCCACATAACTGTTTGGAGCCTGGATTGGGGATAGCATGAGGTCAGACATCAATGTCTGCTGAAAAGGCTGTCTCCAAGATCTTTTGGGGCAACCCATTCAATCAACAGGCTGCATACACTATCAAGGGGACTACTGTTTGTAGCCATTGTACACTGGGCCCCCATGTGGAAAGAGCACAAGTTATTAAAGTAGAAAACACTTTCGTTCCAGTTGGGAAATAGTCACATCTTTGATGGCCCAAATGCTCTTAAGCACCTCAAGATCCACTCAGACATCCCCTTAGTCTCCATAATTCAGTAACTAAAGGGTACCAAGGGTGTGTCAGTGGTTAAGAATTGTATTAGTCCTACGTTTTCCCTTCTGTGTTTTTGTTCACAGTGTTCCTTCTGCCTTGAATCATCTCTTTCACCTCTTCACCTTGTACCTCATGTATGTCACAGAGAACTAGCTTCCACAACTGTGGGAGTTGGTGAAGCAGTCTCTAGAAGACTGTCATCTGAGCCTGGAGCTTAAATCCACGTGGCAGGCAGTCAGGAAGGCTGGCACCCCAGGCACAAGGAACGATCAAAACCTAGTCTGCTCTTGCCTCTCACCTTGGTGAGGAGACTATTCCTCAGAAGCCAAAGCCCTTTATCACAGAGCTAAATGTACATGCCTGGTCCAGAAGTCAGGAAAGCTAAAGGAGGATGCAGGGCAAGGTAGAGCAATCACAGGCTCGGTGCTGCCTCACACCAACAAGTTAGCAGATCAGCAATGACATGTGTGCACTACAAAATGGCTGCTGCTTCTGAATCTCCCTCGTGCCTCACCCTAAACCAAAACATAGAAGAAAGGGAATTCTGGGGAATGTAGTTCAGCCTAGCCAAGTTGACACATGACAAAGCCATCACACCTTGGTGTCAAGGCTTAAGTCAAGTGCCATCTCTTACTTCTATCCCCCTTTCTTTTGGTCAAGCTGGAAGTTCTCATTCCCTCCTCCGAGTCCCCAAAGCCCTCTTGCAAAACCACATGGGTGGCATTTCACATGCACCCAGCACTTTCACTGTTGGTCTGCGCATAGTATTTCTACCACTAGATCGTAGGCTCCTCGAAGTGAGGATCTGAAGGTAGTTACACTGCCCGACAAGTAGCAAGGAGTTCATAAACATTCATGGAATGAATGAGGGAATGAATGAATGAATAATGAACTAACTGACCTGACACTGAGATGCTGTGGGAAGCAAGATTCAAGGGCAGTATATTCACGATCTATTCCTACCTACCAAACCATCCCCAAAACTTAGCAGCTTGAAACAACAGTTAGCATCTCACGGTTTCTGAGAGTTATGAATCCGGGAGCAGCTTAGCTGGGTCATTCTGGCTCAGCATCTCTGGTAAAGTCATAGTCAAACTATTGGCTGTGGCTGTAGTCATTTGAAGGGGCTGCAGGATTCAGCTTCCAATCTCACCTACGTGGCTATTAACAGGAGGGCTTTACTTCCTCATCACATGGGCCTCTCCGTGGGGCTACTCCCAACATGGCAGCTGGCTTCTCCCAGAGCAAGGAATGCAGAAGAGAGAGGTGGTGCCACACTGCCTTTTATGACCGACTCTCTGAGTCCTACATTGAGACTTCTACCTTATCTTCTTAGTTAGAAGTGAGTCACTAAGTACAGCCCACACTCAACAGGAGGAGTGTTTACACAGAGTATGAATACCATGAGGTTTTGATCATTAGAGGCCATCTTAAAGGCTGCCTCACACAAGTGGGAAAAAGGAAGGCTTTAGGCAGGAGACCATGCAATAAGTGTTCTTTAGCTGAACTCAAAAAATTAAACTCACTCCCCACTACTTGGTGTGTAGAGTCATGGTTTTTTTTGTTTTGTTCTGTTTTTCCTTTTTTTTGGTAAAGTCTACTCAAACTGAAAGAAGGCCTCTAATGTCAAGCCAAAGATTGGATTTTGTGGAAATACTTTCAAAGAAGAATGAAGAGAGGGAATCCAATTTGGATCTAACCTTTTTTACAAAAATGATTTCCTTTGCTGCAGCCAAGTTTGATTTGGCCTCTAGAGAATACTGATGAGCAAAATAAAGAGCAGTTTTGATTACACACACATACACACAAAATCCTGAGTTTGTCTTGTCAAAATAAATATTGTAACCTAGTCTAGAGGGTTCCAGGACAATAATAGATGTATTTGTCGAAGAGCTAATAAAGCCAATAATTTATTGAGCACTTCCTAAGCACCAGGTATTGTGGTGAGGGCTTTACATGTATATGATTACACTTCTCAAAAAATCACATGAGGTAGGTATTTTTTACAGGTGAGTAAATGAAGCTTAGAGAAATGACGTGATTTAGAAGTTTAGAGACATTACTTACCTAAGCTCACACAGCTGGCTAGTGCCAGGGCCAGAACTCGATTTTTTTTTTTTTTAAGTAGTCTCTATGCCCAGCATGGAGCACAAAGCGGGGCTTGAACTCATGACCTTGAGATCAAGACCTGAGCTGAGATCAAGAATCAAACACTTACCTAACTGAGCCATCCAGGCACCCTGGCACTCTTCATTTTTGAATGCCTCATCAAACCGCTATCATCATACTTCTGAGAGATACTAGGTACCAGTATAGGTGCCTATGTTCATGCTTGCCATTCTCAATAACCTTTGAGGTAGGTATTATTATCCCCATTTTGTGGATGAGAAACTAAAGTTCAAAGAAGAGGTCACTTGATTTAGCCCACACAGTTAACATAACAGCAGCCTGGGATTCAAGCCCCACCCTGTGTGAATGAATCAAAAGTCTGTACCCCTTCTATCACCTTTATTACCTTCTAGCTCAGTGGTTTTCAAACTGGCAGATCAGAACTTAGGAGTGCATGTGAGGTCAATTAAGTGTGTCCCAACCAGCACTTAAAATACTGAAGTAGATATTTCTATTTTTAATGTTTTGAGGAACCTCCATACTGTTTTCCAGTGGTTGCACTAATTTACATTCCCACCAACAGTGCACAAGGGTTCCTTTTTCTCCACATTCTCACCAACACTTGTGATTTCTGGTCTTTGATTCTAGTCATCCTGACACATGTAAGGTGTTATCTCATTGCGGTTTTGATTGGATTTTCTCCAGTGATTCGTGATGTTGAGTGTCTTTTCATGTGTCTGTTGGCCATCTGTGTGTCTTTTTTGGAAAAATGTCTATTCAGGTCCTCTGTCCATTTTTAATCAGATTATGTGGGGGTTTTTGACATTGAGTGGTATAAGTTATGTATTTTAGATATTAACCCCTTATTGAATATATCTTTGCAAATATCTTCTCCTATTCAGTAGTTTGTCTTTTTGTTTTGTTGATAGTTTCCTTTGCTGTACAGAAGCTTTTTATTGTGATGAAGTCCCAATAGTTTATTCTTGCTTTTGTTTCCCTTGCCTTAGGAGACATAGCTAGAAAAATGTTGCTACAGCTGATGTCTATGAAATAGCTGCCTATGTTCTCTTCTAGGAGTTTCATGGCTTCAGGTCTCACATTTAGGTCTTTAATCCATCTTGAGTTTATTTTTGTATATAATGTAAGAAAGTAAAACAGAATGGAGGTTCCTCAAAAAATTAAAAATAGAAGTATCAGGGTGCCTGGGTTGCTCAGTCAGTTAAGCATCTGCCTTTGGCTCAGCTCACGATACCAGGGTCCTGGGATCGAGCCCCACATCAGGCTCCCTGCTTAGCGGGGAGCCTGCTTCTCCCTCTCCGTCTTCCACTCCCCCTGCTTATGCTCTCTTGCTCTCAAATAAATAAAATATTAAAAAATAATAGAAGTACCATATGATCTGGTAATTCCACTACTGGGTATTTACCCAAAGAAAATGAAAACCTTAATTTGAAAAGATATATGCACCCCTATGTTTATTGCAGCATTATCTACAATAGCCAAGATATGGAAGCAACCCAAGTGTCCACTGATAGATGACTGGATAAAAAAAGATGTGGTACACACACACACACAGGAATATTATGCAGCCATAAAAAGAATGAAATCTTGTCATTTGCAACAACATGGATAGGCCTAGAGGGTATAATGCTAAGTGAAATAAGTCAGACAGAGACAAATACCATATGATCCCACTCATTATGTGGAATCTAAAAAGCAAAACAAATGAATAAACAAGCCAAAAGCAGAATTAGACTTATAGATACAGAGAGCAAACTGATGGCTGCCAGAGAGGAGGGAACTGGGGGGCTGGGAAAATAGGTGACGGGGAGTGGGAAACACAGGCTTCCAGTTATGGAATGACTAAGTCACGGGGATAAAAGTTACAGCATAGGGAATAGAGTCAATGATACTGTGATGGTATTGCATGGTGACTGATGGGAGCTACACCTGTGGTGAGCACAGCATCGTGTACTGAGTTGCTGACTCACTGTTGTACACCTGAAACTAATGTAACATTGTGCGCCAACTAAGAAAAATACTGGAGTAGAATAGAATGGAAGGGAAGGAGAAGTGAGACACATAGTAACAGTAAGCGTTGCTTAATGAAAGTTTTATTTCAGTTATGTATGTATGTATGTATGTGTAATTGTGGGACTGTGCCTGTGTGAGATTGTGTGTGCATGATTATGTGTGTGTGCATTTCTTACTTTGGTTGCATCAAAAGCATTGGAAAGTCTCTGCCCTAGTCACTCCATCTATTTTTTTTTAAAGATTTTATTTATTTGCGAGCAAGAGCACGAGCAGGGGATGGGGCAGAGGGAGAGGGAGAAGCAGGCTCCCTGCTGAGCAGGGATCCTGACACAGGGCTCAATCCCAGGACCCTGAGATCATGACCTGAGCCTAAGGCAGACACTTAACTGATTGAGCCACCCAGGTGCCCCTCCTCCATCTATTCCTAAGGTCACTGCCAACAGGTAAGTGTCCAGGTTTTAATGATAGCTTACCCTCTATACACACTTTCCTCTGGCCCTAAGCACCTAGAAAAGGGTAGTTACAATTCTTGTTCCACTTCCTAGTGTCCTTCTACTAAAATAAAATTATTAAAGACAACCATATGCAATCGGTTAACTTGATCTCAGCTTACCAGCTGTGGGACCTTTGTGGAGTGACTTCACTTTTCTAAAGGTAGCCTCCCTGAATTTTACTTTTCCCATCCTTAAAGTTGGGTAATTATGTTCTCACTTACATTGATTGACTGAGATCACGTGAACTTCTTAGCATAGTGCCTAACACAA